ACTTCTTCATTGCAAGTACCTTTTATCAACAACATAAATGGCTACTATACCTGTGGAGAAGCTCAGTATCATCAGTCAGAACAAGGCGAGGGGCTGACTGAGGAACAAACCATCAATTGCTCATGTGCAAGTTCAAATTGAAGTTAAAGAAAATTAGAACAAGTCCATGAGAGCCAAAGTACTACCTTGAGTATATCCCACCTGAATTTAGAGATCATCTCAAGAACAGATTTGACTCACTGAACACTAATGACCAAAGACCAGATGAATTGTAGAATGACAGCAAGGACATCATACATAAAGAAAGCAAGAGGTCATTAAAAAGACAAGAAAGAAAGAAAAGGCCAAAATGAATGTCAGAAGAGACCCGGAAAGTTGCTCTTGAATGTAGAGTAGCTAAAGCGAAAGGAAGAAATGAAGTAAAAGAGCAAAACAAAAGATTTCAAATAGTGGCTCAAGAACACAAGGAAAGTATTATAATGAAATGTGCAAAAGATCTGGAGATAGAAAACCAAAAGGGAAGAACATGCTCAGCATTTCTCAAGCTGAAGGAACTGAAGAAAAGATTCAAGCCTTGAGTTGCAATATTGAAGGATTCTATAGGGAAAACATTGAATGATGCAAAAAGCATCAAAAGAAGATGGAAGGAATACACAGAGTTACTATATCAAAAAGAATTGGTTGATGTTCAGCCAGTTCAGGAGGTAGCATATGAGCAGGAACCAATGGTACTGAAGAAGTCCAAGCTGCACTGAAGGCATTGGCAAAAAACAAGGCTCCAGGAACTGATGGAATACCAACTGAGATGTTTCAACAGACAGATGCAGTGCTGGAAGTACTCACTCATCTATGCCAAGAAATTTGGAAGACAGCTACCTGACCAATCGACTGGAAGAGATCTATATTTATACATATGCCCAAGAAAGGTGATCCCACCAAATGTGGAAATTATCGAATAATATCATTAATATCACACGCAAGTAAAATTTTGCTGAAGATCATTCAAAAGTGGCTGCAGTGATATATCAACAGGGAACTGCCAGAAATTCAAACTGGATTCAGAAGAGAACATGGAAGGAGGGTTATCATTGCTGATGTCAGATGGATCCTGACTGAAAGTAGAGAATACCAGAAAGATGTTTACCTGTGTTTTATTGACTATAACAAATCATGGATAACGTTTCAAAGAATGGGAATTCCAGAACACTTAATTGTGCCTGTGAGGAACCTGTACTCAGACCAAGAGGCAGTTGTTCGAACAGAACAAGGGGATACGGCATGGTTTAAAGTCAGGAAAGGTGTGTGTCAGGGTTGTGTCCTTTCACCATACTTGTTCAATCTGTATGCTGAGTAAATAATTTGAATAGCTGGTCTATATGAAGAAGAATGCAGCATCAGGATTGGAGGAAGACTGATTAACATCCTGGGATATGCAGATGACACAGCCTTGCTTGCTGAAAGTGAAGAGGACTTGAAGCACTAACTGATGAACATCAAAGACCACAGCCTTCAGTATGGATTACACCTCAACATAAAGGAAACAGAAATCCTCACAACTAGACCAATAAGGAACATCATGATAAATGGAGAAAAGATTGAAGTTGTCAAGGATTTCATTTTGCTTGGATCCACAATCAACACCCATGGAAGTAGCAGTCAAGAAATCAGAGGACGCATTGCATTGGGCAAATCTGCTGCAAGAGATCCCTTTAAAGTATTAAAAAGCAAAAATGTCACTTTAAGGACTAAGGTACGCCTGACTCAAGCCATGGTGTTGTCAGTTGTCTCATATGCATGTGAAAACCGGACAGTGAATAAGAAAGGCCTAAGAAGAATTGATGCCTTGGAATTATGATTTTGGCAAAGAATACTGAATATACCACAGACTGCCAGAAGAATAAACAAATCTGTCTCGGAAGAAGTACAGCCGGAATGCTCATTAGAAGCAAGAGTTGCGAGACTTCATCTTACAGACAGACTTTGGACATGTTATCAGGAGGGACCAGTCCCTGGAAGGCATCATGCTTGGTAAAATAGAAGGTCAGCAAAAGAGAGGAAGACCTTCAATTAGATGAATTGACACAGTGGCTGCAACAGTGGGCTCAAACATAGCAACAATTGTGAGGATGACACAGGAGTGGGCAATGTTTTATTCTGTTGTACATAGGGTCGCTGTGAGTTGGAATCCACTCAACACACCTAACAACAGTATTGTAATACCTATCTTGAAAGATTGTTGTGAGAATTAAACTAAATAATAAATGTGTACATTTGCTGAATAATTATTGAAATACCTGCTCTGTGCCAGGCATTGTTCTAGGTGCTGTGGATATCAGCAAACATGACAAAATACCTGCTCTTCATTTTAGTGGCAAACATGCAAGCAAAAATAAAATTTTAGGAAGTGAGTGATAAGTTCTATGAAGAAAAATAAAGCTTGACACATAGTATAAATTTCTCCCAAATGTTGTATTATAATTTTCAAAGTACAGCAAACACCCGTATACCTGTATACTGTCCATCTAGGTTAAACTGTTAATAGTTTGCTATAGTTAGCAGCACAATTGGAAGAGCATGGTCGATGTCACTGAACTGTGCATGTAGAAATTTTTGAAATGGTGTATCTTTGGCTATGTATATTTTCACCAAAAAAAAAAGGTCAAGAAGGGAGAGGGTTGACATGTCATGGGATTGTTAACCAATGTCTTAAAACAATATGTGTACTACTGTTTCATGAGAAACTATTTGTTCTGTAAACCTTCACCTGAAGTACAATAAAAAAAAAAAAAAGTACAATAAAAAAATTTAAAAAAATACTTTGCTGTATTTACATATCTATCCATCTGCGTGTCTGAGTGTGCGTGTATCTCGGTTTATTTTTTTCCTGAACTATTTGAAAATAAGTTGCAGACATTATTATAATTAATCCCTAAATGCTCCATCCAGCAAACATCTCTTAAGAATTAGGACATTCTTCTGTATAGTAGAGATCTAACGAATCTTTCTGAGCCTCATGGAGATAGCAGTCATCACTATCAGTCATTTAAAAAAAAACCCACTGCCGTTGAGTTGATTCTGACTCATAGTGACCCTATAGGACAGAGTAGAATTGTCCCATAGGGTTTCCAAGCCTGTAATCTTTATGGAAGCAGACTGCCACATCGGCTGGTAGGTTCAAACTGCCAGCCTTTTGGTTCACATCCGAGCGCTTTAACCACTGTGCCACCAGGGCTCCTCTGTCAGTGATAGCTAACCAAAGCTAACATAACAGTTTATAATATTTTCATGTCATCTGAACATCGAGAGAAGGTCTTATCAATCAAGTTTCTTTGGGAACATGTCTATAGTTGTGAAAAGTAGATAATAGATATTTTGCATACATGCAGCCACCATGAGTTGGAATTGACTTGACAGCAACTAACAACAACAGATAGTTTGCAGGGTGTTTTTATAACTCTCAGGTTTTTAGTTCTTGAAAATATAAAAATATGACACTGGCCCTTATCTGAGTAGGATGCAAGGAAGAGTGGAAATATACATTTTACTGAGGAATTGCTCTACTCACATCTCTGTATTTTAGAGGAAAATGATAGTTTCTCAAGTTGACTTAATTATAACTAGACTATCAAGTGGCAGAACACGGATTTGGATCCACGTGTACTGGCTTCTAAAGCATAAGCAATTTCTTCTATACCCTACTGCTTTTTAAGGAGTTGAATTAGCCATTCATTGCTGTAGAGGGCTTCTTTCAGAGTAAATGGCTAAGAATGTAAGGAGAGCTACATACCCTCCTTTATTAAGAAACTTATTTTGAGCCACCTTTGTGCATCTGTCATGATAAAAACTCAGTTTTATATGGCAATAATTATTAATCCTTTGTTTTTGACACACATTCATTTTCTGCTCAGTATTTCTATTTAACAAGTATTATATTATTTCATACATGTATATGCCTTATTTTCTCAGTTCTTCTTTAAGAGTCAGGGCTGTATTTTAGTGGTTCTCAAATTTGAATGTGCATCAGAAACACCTCAGATTTTCTGATTCATTAGGTCTGGGGTGCAGCCCAAGGATTTGCATTTCTTACATATTCCCAGGTGATACTGATTCTGCTGGTCTGGGGGCCACACTTTGAGAAACCACTATTTACCTTTCCCTGCACCACCGCCCCCCCCACCCCCACCATAGCACTTATCGTGGTGCTTATTACTAGCTTAAATGTGACTCTTTGACTTTTATTTTACTGAAACTGTTAGTTGTTCTCAAATTTTGGTGTGTATGAGGATCACCTGGGAAACATGTTGAAACAGCAGATTTCAGGGATGGCCCTGAAAACATTCATTTTTTAGTAAGCACATTAGATGTTAATTCAGATGATCATTGGACCACAGTTTAGGAAATATTTACATACAGTTGATCATGCTGTCCTCATTGCCCATGGCTGTATTTGTCTCTGATTGTTTTTTGTACTGTGCTGCCATTCTTTGTTCGTAAATCTCTCTTCTGCTAGAGTCCTTGAAGAGTAAGGACTACCTATGTCTTATTCTGTTATATCTTAATGCTTAGCACAATGCCGGTATTAAAAAGCAATAGAGTAAGCACCACCTTTGGAATCAGTTTTGGTACCTGCTAGGTGACCTTGGAAAATTCAATCTCTGAACGTCAGTTTCCTCTTTTATGCAATGGTGATAGTAATACTTATTCACTATAGGAACTAGTTCTAAGGTATGTAAAATATTTAGCACAGTACCTGACAAACAAAATGTACTCAGTAAATGGAAACCATTACTATTGTTACGGTCGTCGCATTGCAGTGGAAGAAGCAAAATAAATGTTTGAATTCATAAAAACTTCTGAATTATACTTTTGGCATTAAAATGTAGGATATGTGTTTAAAACTTCATAAATTTTTGCTTAATTATTTCAATTATATTTTATATTTTGGTGTTTTAGTAAAGTATTGCAAAGTAAAATCATATTGGGCTTTTTCTCTCCCATAGGAAAACAAAGAAACCACTTGGAACCAATGGATACCATATTTGTTAAACAGGTTAAAGAAGGAGGACCTGCTTTTGAAGCTGGGTTATGCACAGGTGTTGATATTCTTCTTTAAATACCAACACTTTCTAATTTCTTTTTCACATCATTTCTTCCTTCTTCTATATTTAGTGTTCCATATTTCTTCCTTTTCTATCCTTCTGTATGTTTCTCCCTCTTTCTTTTTGCCTATAATTACTATCTTTGAGACCCAATTACTTATATGTTTCTTGATACCCACATGGATGGCTTTGAATAGAAATAATTTAATATAAATTGATAAATTGTGGATATTTAAAATTATCACACAGATAATGGACTTTTGGAATTGTTATTTTTACAATTAAAAGGTTCTTTTAAAGAACATATTTTGTATATATTTAGTTTTGGCAAAGGATCACAAAATAGCAAAATGATGAAGGTATTTATTGAGGTAATTGAAATAAACTTGAATCTCCAAGTTTTAGAAGTGCCTTATCTGCCAGAGGTGGATTAATTAATTTGCACCACAGAGTTGTTTAAGTCTCCAGTGCGCAATGCAAGCAGAGTCGTTTGTAGGTATCAATGGATGTGGTCTGATTGCTGGAAACAGTAGCTTTTTGTTCTAAAATATTTTGTGATTTTAATGAAAATAAGTAGTTATGACAACTAAGGGGAGATTTGGTTTAGATTAATGCATATTCTAAAATAGTTATTCTTTGGTCTTATTTTTAAACATGAAACAATTTTATATGGAAATTAGTGAAAACATCTATCTTTCACTACCTTTTGAATAAGGTGTTGTATTTTCAGCTACAAATATTATAAGTAGTAAGTGTTATGGCTAAGATTTATTAGTATGTACTGTTAATTTATTACTTAATTAAAATTTTTTATCATACCTGAACTAAGCCTAGTTTCTATAGCATTAATGTATATACACAATATGTATATTAGTGTACATATGGGATTCCATTACATAGAATCCTTCCATCATTTCCTAATCCTCACAAGGTTGAGAAGATGAAGTAGAGGTGCTGTGAATAGGCACACAAAAAGTAATTTTTTTTCTATTTTCCTCTTTCCTCTTGTCTTTTCTGTCTGTCATTTCCTTTGTATCTCTCTGACTTTTTTTGAGTAATTCAAGTGTACTCTTCCCCATTAAAATAAAGGACAGTTTAATATGTATAATGTTAAAAGAATGCATACTCATGTTTAAGTTCTGTAATGCAGCACTAACTAATAAGCTAAACAGATTGAGCGTACAGGTATGCGTTTTATTGCTCTTCACTTTATTGCTGCACTTCACAGATATTATGTTTTTTACAAATTGATTTGTGACAACCCTGCTTCGTGCAAGTCTATCAGCGCCATGTTTCCAACAGCATATGCTCACTTCATGTCTGTGTTACATTTTGGTAATTCTCGCAATATTTCAAACTTTTTCATTATATCCGTTATGGTGATCTGTGATCAGTGATCTTTGATGTTACTATTGTAATTGTTTTGGGGTGCCAGAAACTGTGCCCATATAAGATGGTAAACTTAATTGATAAATGTTGTGTGTGTGTTCTGACTGCTCCCCCAACTGGCTGTTCCTCCATCTCTCTCATTCTCCTTGGGCCTCCCTATTCCCTGCGACATAACAATATTAAAATTATTGTTGTTAGGTGACATCAAGTCAGTTCTGACTCATAGTGACCCTATGTACTACAACAGAATAAAACACTGCCCGGTCCTGCGCCATCCCCATGATCGTTGTTATGTTTGATCCCATTGTTGCAGCCACTGTGTCAGTCCATCTTGTTGAGGGTCTTCCTCTTTTTTGGTCTCCTGATAACATGTCCAAACTATGTAAGACAAAGTCTCAGCATCGTTGAAATCAGGCCAATTAATACCCCTACAATGGCCTCTAAGTGTTCAAGTGAAAGGAAGAGTTGCATGTCTCCCAGTTTAAATCAAAAGCTTTTTGAAATGATTAAGCTTAGTGAAGAAAGCATGTTGAAAGCCAAGATAGGCCGAAAGCTAGGCCTCTAGCGCCAAACAGTTAGCCAAGTTGTGAACGTAAAGGAAAAGTTCTTGGAGAAAATTAAAAGTGCTGCTCCAGTGAACACATGAATGATAAGAAAGCAAAACAGCCTTACTGCTGATATGGAGAAAGTTTTAGTGGTCTGGATAGAAGATGAAATCATCCGCAATATTCCCTTAAGCCAAAGCCTAATCCAGAGCAAGGCCCTAACTCTCTTCAATTCTATGAAGGCTGAGAGGTGAGGAAGCTGCAGAAGTTTGAAGCTAGCAGAGATTGGTTTAGAGGTTTAAGAAAAGGAGCTATCTACATAACATAAAAGTGCAAGATGAAGCAGCAGGTGCTGATGTAGAAGCATCAGTTAGCCAGAAGATCTAGCTAAGATAATTGATGAAGGTGGCTACCCTAATCAACAGATTTTCAATGTAGATGAAATAGCCATCTAGGAATTTCATAGCTAGAGAGAAGTGAATGTCTGGCCTCAAAGCTTGAAGGGACAGGCTGACTCTCTTGTTAGGGGCTAATGCAGCTGGTGACTTTTAAGCCAGTGCTCATTTACCATTCCAAAAATCCTAGAGCCCTTAAGAATTATGCTAAATCTACTCTGCCTGTGCTCTATAAATGCAACAACAAAGCCTGGATGACAGCACATCTGTTTACAACATGGTTTACTGAATATTTTAAGCCCACTGTTAAGACCTATTGCTCAGAAACAAAGATTCCTTTCAAAATATTACTGCTCAGGACTTCTGGGCAACATGGCGCTATAGTCAGAAGCACCACGCCGTCCCTCCACAGCAAAGATCAGAAAAACTAAGTCAAATAGTCACACGTCAATCCTGAAACCCTAAGCATTAAATGAAGAGATAAAGAACTCAGCCAAGCACCGAATGGAATAAGAAACTGACCGAGAACAGAGAGCAAGGAGAGATACATGCAGAGGTCCCCTATTAGCTACCACAGCACGGATCTGCCATCTTGGACTCCTATCGGAGATCAGTGAACAGGAGGTATGAGAAAGCAGCTTCACGGAGCTTCCAGCAGGAGACAGAACAACCGGTAACCTGTGATATAGGCTTTCCCACCCCCCACCCTTCTTCACCCCCACTTAGCCTCCTCTGCTTCCTGCAGCCACAGTCTATCGGCCAGGAAGCACGAGCTTCCCCCCAGTGCCGCTTGGATTACACCCGCCTGTACTGGCCAGCTCCCCGAGTACCATTTGTTGGCTGCTGTTGTTGCTTTTTTCTGCTTCTTTAGATTTCTTCCTTACCTCTCACCACCTCCCCCTCCTTTCTCTCAAATACCTGGCTCCGTGCACCATCTTTGCTTCTTTCTGAAAGGCTGCGAAATACCGCTCGACTATGAAACTGCTTCTGGGCCCGTGCCGTCACGCTGGTGGGACTCCAGGGGCTTTTTTCTTTCTTTGTTTGTTTGCTCT